TTTGTAAACGCAGGAAACGCACGTTTGAAGCTAGAGCTATGCTGCGGAAAGATGCACGTACTTTACAGTATGTATTCCAAGTGCCAGCGACTTGCGGCACGAGGGCCTTGCTTTTCCGTGGTCTTTCAGGCAGTTCTGTAAGGCAGGGCACAGTGGAAATCGTAGGCTTCACTTTGGCCGCAGCCGCTGACCAACGCATGCATGCTCTCCTTCTGAGAGGCAGGCTTGAATTCATACTGCGGCATGCGTTGGGGCTAACAACGCGTCTGCATCCTCGATGCCGTATAGATATGGGAGTGGTACAAGCTTCAATGGACACACCTTCCTGATGCGAATGGCCTTTTGGTTTGTGTAGGTACAGACTCGCGGGACTCAGAGCTTCGTGTCAAGTCCCATGAAGCTGTTGGAGAGGCTGCGCGAACACGCACCTCTCCAACAGCTGCGTAGTAGCAGCTAAATGAATTCAGGCTTTGCCTGCTTGGCTCAAGGGGTGGTGAATGGCAGCCTTGTCACTGACAGCGGAGAGGCTAGACGATCCGACGCCGATTGGGGTTCAAGCTGAGTGGTTGCTTCAAGGAAGTGCAGGAGCATCGACCTCCCATGCTGAAGCCCCTTGGCTTCGACGATGTATGGGGTTCCGGGTGGCGAGGTCTTCTTGATACTGCTTCAATGAGGGGTCCTTAGGGTTTTTGTTGCCCGTGTTGGGTGGTTTCTAGGTTTAAGGCTTAGGCATACAGCGTCTTGGAGCTTGAGATTGGGCTCGGGTGCAGGCTGCGCGGCTGACACGTGGCATGGCTGGCCTATGCAGCATGCTGCAAGCGTGATCTGTTGCAGATTGCCTCCCAACATCTCCCAACTTCAGGCCTCCGCGATCCTTCACGCAAGCTCTGGTTAGTCACGTTGCAGCTGCTGCCCATCTCCCGAGGTCTTAGAACCTCCATTGCTGAGCGGATGTTTCTGAAGCTTGCCGTCGGCAAACTCCTTGGCAAAGCTGTTTCACCTGCCCTTTTGTCTGAGAATCTTCCGAGGCTCTTCAGAAACCTCCATCTGACTTTCCAGTCGGGGCTTTCAGCTGGGACAAAGAAAGCCAATGCTAACAACGGCAATTTGACTGCCGCTGAAAGAGGGCCTACCCTAAACGAAGTAGACGAAAGAATGGCACTTTTTGCCGCATTGGAGCTGGAGAGAGGGACTGCTGTGCAGAAAGTCCACAACAGTTTGATGCGGCAGCGCTCTCTTCCTTGTTCATGCCGTAATCAGCCTTAATCTACGAATGAAGGCATTGTGCTGAGATGCTGATCAACTTACCCGTGCATGTAACGTAAGTGCGCGCGCGCTCGTCTGCGAAATAGTTGGTCATCTAGTTCCAATACTGCCTCTGAGTGGATCTGAACTTCCAGAAGAGAGCGTACACATGCACTTTTCGTGTTGAGGTCACTTCTCAACGCAGCCAAGCTTGCGGTGAGTTTAGGTGCCAGTCGGCCTTGGCAGGAGTGGTCCCGTGACATGCAATGTACAAAGAGAATTTGGTGCATATGAATACTGCCTAGTTAATTGATACTCCTAGGTTACCTTCTCCTTCGGCATGCAATTCGATTCCGCAGTCGAGTCCGCCATTGCAAAAGAAGAACTGGACGGACATGTGTGGATTTGTGGGGGCTCCCGGCTGAGCCTAGAGAATTCTTGGAAATAGCAGGATTCTCGAGAGACCACGGGCCTGCCATCCTTCTACGGATTTGCGGCCGCCAAACTTCAAAGCTGGTCCTCAGGAAACCGACCTTGAACCCCAAAAGCCGTCAAGAGTGACCGTCGGCAAGCCTGCCGAAACGGATCCTTGCATCCTCATGGTGCCGGCACCTCACAGGAAGCGGAGGATAAGCGGAACGACCCCCCCCCCCCCACAAAGGGTTAGGAGTTCAAGCTTTAGGTGGCTTGCCGTCCTGGGTACTATATGCTTTCAGACGCGGTTCGTGCGACCAGTGTTTCCATCCCTGATGAGGTCTGGATTCATGGAGTCTGCGTCGTTTGCCAATCAATCGTTAGCTCCGGTCGCAATTCGAAGAATATTTCTGAACCTTTTTCGCCAGGACTGTTTCCTGCTGGCCTTGTGGCTTGCGGGAACCTGTCCGAGAAATAGCGCAAGAAGGAGTAGTAGGCAGCGGCAGGCAGCAAATCTAGCACGCAGCTTTCAGTATGGTGCACCAGGGCTGGCCGTCATGGGTGGCGCGCATGCAAAGTTATGGCAAAACAGCAGCATGGTAGTCTCATCTGGCTCTCATTTAGGAGTGCTGGAGGGCTAGATGAAGCACCTGAAAGCCCCCAACCCTGAACCCAAAGTCTAAAGCCCCAACCCTGCAGCCCGCAAAGCCTGAAGATCCTAACACACGCACCCCATCGCACCCCTACCCCCATATACCTCCACAAACGCATGAGAAAAAACGGCGACTAGCTATCCTCCAGCAGTGGCATGGATAAGTCGGCAGTCGTCTACAACGGGTGACAGGAAACAAAGTGGAAAACAGCACAGCTGCATTCAGGAAACAGCACAGACACAGTCAGAAAGCCGCCCCGCCACAGTCAGGAAACAAGCTAACCCTAAACCCTAAACCCCTAAACCCCTAAACCCCTAAACCCCTAAACCCTACACATCCCTACACATCCCTACACATCCATACCCATCCCTACACATCCCTGCACATCCCTACACATCCCTACACATCCCTACGCATCCCTACACATCCCTACACCCCAAACCCGAAACCCTAAAGGCCCAACCAACGCAAGTGTGCGAGGTCCAGGAGATCCTATCTAGCAGGTGCGGGCAATCGAGATACCTGAAACTTCAATTTCAAGTTGCGGAATTGCTGCTATTGACAACCTTGTAACCCTCAAAGCACGAAAGTCTGAGCGTCCGGTGGCCTTCTTCCCGTCACCAAACAAGTGCCCACAGCCCTGGGGGGGGGGGGGCGGGGCGGGGTGTTGTTTTATGGTTCAGGACCTGCATGGTTGTTCTTAGGCTCTTTTTGGGGTTCCAAGGGCTCGACAAATTTCAGCGTCTTGGCTTTCAGGAGCTTTCTAGCCTGAAGGCACATCTTCAGAAGCCTTCGCCTTCACCAAAGGAATGCTTCCAAAACCCCGAACTCTAAAGGTCCTGGGATCTCCGCCTAAAGGCACCACACTCTAACTAGGCCCGAAAGTCCAACGGTCCTAAGCAGGGATTACAACTACCCCTGTGCACCCTACCGGTAGCTGCCCACCAGAAGCCCTGCCTACTCAGCACAGCCAAATCTTATTTGCCCGCCTGGAGGGGACAGAACTCTTGTCTGGGACGAGGCACAAGCGTGCAGCCTGGTGCCCAAACTGGGATTTAGAGTCTAGAGATAAGTTTGTTTGCCAGTATCTCTATAGACAAGTTTTTGGATAACCTGGGCCTTGAGCCCTGAATCCCACAAGCTCAAGCTGCACGCATCCCAAAGCCCTTCCCCTTCAAACCCAAGAATCGAAAAAGCAGTGCTAGAAAAACCTCAGACGCAACCATGGCGCCATGGTGGCATGGACGATTAGGCGTTGAAAGCGCAACAACAGAGAAGCCCGAAAGCACGGGCGCGATTTCGACTACGGAATGTGCACTGAGCACATCATGCAGGCGGGAGCACGATTCAGAAAGCCCAACACGAGGCATGCTTCGCCAGGCGCGTGCCTGGGTTTGGCGCCTCTTCATGAGGGAGCATGCGCATGAGATCGACACACAAGCACACGGGACTGAGGTGCACGATTTCGATCACGGAACGCGGACGAGACCTGCGATTTGTCGCCTCGAACGATGTTGGGGAAAGACCGAAAATGTGGATTGTTGGGGTTTCTTCATTGTTTCTTCGTTTAGGGTACAGAAATACGGCCCATGTTACAAAACGAGACCCCTTGTCGTTTGCTTGCCTTGGTTACCGAAAAAATTCTGGTACAGCCAAAAACTAACTAACTGCCCAGCTGTCTGTCTAGCTTTGAGGCCACCGAGTCAGGAAATTAATGCGGGGATTTAGATTAAATGGTGGATGAAAGTCTAGCGAATCAATTGCAATTACAACCCCCAAACCTCAAAAAAGCTAGTCAATTCATTAAATTAACTACTTTAGGGCAATGCTGATTAGGGTATGAAAATTACAACCCCATCCCAGCAAGCTAATGAATTAATTCAGTATCTATTTTAGAGCACTGGGGCTTAGGGTACGCGGTTAAACTAACTCGTGAGCTAAGTCAGTGCGATTTTTGCACCAAAGCAAGCCCCGCACGCAGGCGAGAGCCGGGGAACCGGCAGCGTGAGTTGCGCGTTTACAGCAAGCTATCATCCTCCATACCCCTAGCGTTCCTTAGTGTTGCCTCTCTGGTTGGAAACCAAACGAAACGTCTTTGCGCGGCCTTGCGCAGTGCAGCTCTTCCTGAGGCCCTCTGTGGCATTGCCACCTTGGCGCGATACTACTCAAGGAGTAAGTCGCAACAAGGAGCTATGGCTTCGAGCCTAAACCCCAACCCCCCCCCCCCCCCCCCACACATGCTACTGTAGAAGCTCCGCCAATGATGCAGCTCTTCTCCATGCAATGTGGCTTGCCCTTACAGTGAGCAACTTCGTAAGCAAAGCCCTCAAGCCTGCGGCTTAAGCCAGATTCCCCCCCCCCCCTATTTTCATGTCAGGATCAAAGCTGCCCGGACTAGTGCCTAGCCTGCTCGGGGGCGCACGCTCTTCACACGGAAATCGTGGTAGCAGAGCTTGTGCTAGCTTTGGTGCAACATGCAACAAGCCCGCGCCTACTGCGATTCCCAGTGTCGGGCAGTTGTGGGATTGTGCTGTGGATGATGCTTTATGGGATGTTGGACAGCTAGTGCCCAGCACCCGACGTGAAGGACTGCTGCTCATCAGCACTTGTCATACCAGTCAGAGTCACTATCGCAACCACCAGCATCACCATCGTCAGGGTTTCCATGTCAGGGGCACCCGTCAAGGTCTAGAGCCTAGAGTCTAGGGTCAGGAATGCTGCAGCCGGCGTGCCGTGCTTCAGCACGGATTCGGCCAGGTCTGGACGAGGGATAGCCAGGGCAGCGAAGGCATAGTAGGCCTGCAACGCATAATGCCCTGAAATTCTAACATATTGTGCACACACTCTCAAGCCTACTGCAACGGCAGCCTGAAACCCCCAAAATCGCGGAAAGCCTACGCGTGCCAGGAAGTTGGGAGGGGTATATAAGGTTTATAGGATTATAGGATTCTTCTAAGCACACAAGGCTTGTGGTAGTGTGGGTTGCTTAGCCAACTCCGCAAGGCCTTCCGCGGCACGCGCTCGACGGTGAGCAGGCCCCACCTTTCAACGGGCAGTGTATGACGTAGGGTTTAGGGCCGTAGGGACCGCGGGTTTGGGGTTCAGGTTTAGGGTTTGTACTTGCAGCTAATTGCCAGTTGACCGCCGCATAAAGCTACTAGAAGAAGCGATAAAAGACGTCTTAGTCTATGAGGTTCTGTGATGCTACACAGAGTTTCCAAAAACGCCTCGACCCCAACCACTAAGCCCTTGGCATAGACACCAAACCATAAACCCACCCAACATCGCCCAACAAAACCTTGGTCCTTGACACGATATCTGACTAGCTGTACACGAATAGTGAGCAGAGGCTGGCACCACTCCTCGTTGAAGACGCGATCTGGAAAAGGTCCGCCTTGCGACTCGAAACCCTTCCACCCCAAATTGCACTAGCCAAAGCTACAGGAAGACATCCTGAGACTTTGTTGGCCTTAGAGGCAAGGCCGGGAAGGGTCGTGGCTAGAGACTTGGCGAAAACACAAGTCGCCTAAAGCTCTATCTCCAAGACCCTTAAACCACTCACAGATTATCCCGAAGCACTAGTTACTTCCCGACGCTCATGCTCGCCTCTCAGCGCTTCGTGCCCCTTTTGCAGGCGTTGCAGAGTCTTTGCGCGAGCACAACGCAACGCCCCGTGACTCCTCTCTCTGGGAGCAGAGGATTGCGGGCCAATGGAAGCTGCAGCAACACAATCACCCTGACAGCACAGTTTCGAAGCAGAGCGGCCGCATCAAGAAAAGCGGCTTAGGGCTGACACACAGAGACCCGAAATTTCTGAGTTTCTCATTGTAGACGTAGAACAAAAAGGCCCTAAGCCCTAAAACCCATTAAGATCCATTCGCCCAAATCCATACGAGCCCTCTACTGCTCAAGGTCCAAATCATGCAGCGCAGCGCGATGTTGAACTGGGATTTTGTTGCTATTGCCAGCATCCCCAACCAGGACACCCAAAAATGCGCACGCGCGCGCACACACACCCCGATATTTATAGTGAACCCAAATATAGTCACCAAGAAGAGCAAAATAAACCCTCAAAGGCCCCAAAGCCCTAAAACCCTACTTCCAACCCTGGAAACCGGCCTCCTGGTGCCAGTCCACCCGTATCCTGAGCCAAAGGACCTCAGCAGTCTTTGGGGCCTTGGGGCAGGCTGAAGGTGTTTTTCTGACGTGTTTCGGAACCTTTCAGTCAGAGTTTACGATTTGTTGGGCTTAAAAAGTTTGTTGCAAGGCTTGGTTCACGATGTTGATGAGCTGTGCACGCACGCCGATGCGGCTGCCGGAGGCTGTCGGGAACCGGTTCGGCAGCATTTCTGTCCCATTCGAGGGTTCAGGGATTCGACAAGTCCGGCTGCATTTGCCCAATTCCTCGAGCCCCGACGTCTATTCTACATCCTCTAGCCGCCATCCAGACGTCGAGGCGGTTCAGATCCTTAAGGCACACGGGTGTGAGAGTTTAGGGAGACTTGGGAACTTGGGTTTTGGGACTCCAAGGCGAAAACCAGCCGGATTCGGGATGAAGCTGCAAAAAAAAACAAATCCTTGAACTCCCGGCGCACGGAGTCTGGGCCGGCGGCTGCCGTCTCCGTCTTTCCACCACTCATCCGCCAACTCAAAGATGAGCCCACCAGAGCCTTATTCTGGAAGCATTATGTATTACACATTACATCACATCTCAGTTTCTTAAGCCTTTGAAGGCTATGATGGCTCAAACGCCAGGAGTTGAAAGGTCCACAGACTTTCGTGGCATCTCGCCAGTCCCTCCATGGCCGCGGGCAGATGCCGCCGGGGAAGATTGCGCTGTTTTCCATGATCTGCTCCCTGCCATGAAGTATCATGAGGTTCTTCAGGGTTTTTAGGTTATCAGGATGGCTTAGGGTTCTTTGAGTCTCTAGCAGTAGGAATCACACGGTTGGTTTCAAGGTCACAATTAGGCAGAAGTTCAGAAGAGGTTGGGGGGCTGCACAAGCACTGGCATGTTCTTCCCAAAACCCCACTACCCGTAAACACGGCAGAGCGGCGTCAACACTTTTGTTGCATACGCCTGTGCATCCTCGCTTGGGCGCGTTTCACATTGGGAAGCATTCATGGCCGTTGCAATCCTGGAGCTATGGAGCCTGTTCGCAGCCTGCGATGTGCAATGCTGGATGACCCCGAAATTCTGGAAACCAAGGCGGTGAGGATGCTAGTCTTGTTGGCAAGGAAACGTACCCTGCTGCCGTCAATACGAAGATATACTTGTGACATGAATCGTCTGGTGCCCTGACCTCTTCTGCTCCTGATCTCATCCACCCATCACGACCGAAGAACCAACCGTGATGAGACCAACAAGTCTTGCTTCTAATTCTAAGGGTTCGACAACTTCAAGCAAAAGTGCAACGAGTCCTCATTCACAGCGGCGTTTATTGTGTCGTACCTGGGTCATGCGGCGAGCACAGTCCCCCAAGTTTCCAGCTGCTGCCTGCGATGGTCACTAGTGCGCAGCCAACGCCACGAAATGGCAAAAGTTGGACCCTCTTCTCGTGCAGACGACCCCCTCACCCTCACCCCTCCCCTTCAGTGTCCACCCTAACACGGACAGTGTCCCCCTGTCTTTCGCTTCTTTCAGGCCGGGAAGACTTGCCTTCATGGAGGCGCTGGCCTTCAACAACGTCTTTGTTCAAACAACGAGGCAAGCTGCATTCTGCCTGAAAGCGCCGACAGTAGAGCGGCGTAGCTCTTTGATTCAATAAGGCAAGGGTCCGCAAAAGGTAGAAACTCAACTTGGGCATGGACGGCCATGCACAGCTACATACTGACCAACCAAACACTGTACAATACTGTACACTGTTCTTCTTGAGCTTTCAGATCATTGCTCTTATAGTGTTATCTCTACGGCTATCATGATAACGTTAACAAGAGCAATTACTATTCTTATGGAAGAAAAAGAGCTTATTGCAGTCGATAGTCAAGATCCGGACATCATCCGCTCAGTCGAGATGATGACCCCATACCCCATACCCCCCTTCTACCGAACCGACGCCCCCCGGCCCCATTGAAACTGATTGTCCATAATCCATAGCTCTAAGGCATGGCAGCTACATAAGCGTGCAGGACAGAGAGAGAACGTGTAGAAGACCCGACAATACTCACCTTCATGTAGTTCTGGACTTTATGCTGATGGGGCACCGAAAACTGCGCGCAAGTTTTCTCATGGTGTATAAAGTTTAGCACTGGTGCACTGTGCATCTGGCACGCTTCCGTGGAAGCCTGCACGAGGAACATCATCTAAGCATGATCAAACTGTGCTGTGCCAGCTCCTTGTGGCGATCTTTCATGATAGCACATCAACATCTCGCAATGGGTGGACTTTCATCTTTCACAAGGTTGATTCCAAGTAAGCACGCACATAACTCGCGTAAGCCTCTGATCTACGTGTTGCAAGAGCTCCCCTTGCAATGCCAAAAACTCCGAACACCCCAGAAGGGCACGCATCTGCGCCGTACTCACCGAGGAAAAACGGCTTCGTCGATCGCTCTGCAAAGCCTTAGCTGTACCAGGTTTAACCTCATCATGGAAGCTCAACCTTGTAGCCCTCAAGAGAGACAGAGAGAGCGCTCATTGTGAACTCCGAAACTTTCACGGAATAGGAGAGGAAGAGGAGACCCTGGACCTAAGCCCTGAACCATACACCATAAACGTTCCACAAACCCTTCAAATCTAAACCCCTGTCATGCGCATGGCGAGATTCATACTGATACATCTGGAACAAATGCGAATGAGAATGGGTACACCATATGGTCAAGATCTATCAGAGTCGGACACGAGTCGGAAAATGCACGGACGAATCTGAAAACGAACGGCCCGGGACGAGTCGGAGAAATAAAATGAGCCAGAAAATTAAGCAGCGAATCTGAATTTTCGGGAAGTTGTCACTGGCACAGCTTGGCATCTAAAAGGTTTCAAGTGGGGGGTTGAGGTTCAAGGTTTTCAGCTTCGCATCTGAAAGGTCTCGCATGGGTCGGAATCCTAAACCCTAAGCCCTGAAAACCCCTGAACGCTGAAAACCCGAAAACCCTGCACCATAAAAACCCCTGAACCCTAATCTGAAAACCCCAAACCCGAAAAACCCTAAACCCTAAAACCGCCAAACCCTAAAGCCTGAACCCTAAAACCCTTACACCCTAGAAAAAACAACCCGAGAAACCAAGACCCCTCAAAACCCCGAACCGTAAACCCTAAAAACCCTGAACCCTAAAAACCCAAAAAGCTAAACACCCTGAACCCTCGGAACCCTGAATCCGACAAAACCCTAACCGCGGGAAAATAACCTAGCTAACGAAAACCTGACACAGCCTGAACCCTAAAAGCCCGAAACCCTAAAACCCCTGAACCCTCGAAACCGTAAACCCTACAAACCTGAACCCGAAAAACCAAAAAACTCGAGCATCTTGAGCCTGGAAAACAAACCCTAAAAACCAAACACCCAAACAAAAACAGCCCTGTACCCTAAAAACCCTAAACCCTAAACACTCTGAACCCTAAAATCTCGAAACCTTCCGAAAGACCAGAGCCCCCCAAAAAACTGAACCCTAAAAACCCTAAACCCCAAAATCCCTAAACCCCAAACAACCTGAACCCTAAAACCCTCACCCTAAAACCCTGAACCCTGAAAACCCTAAACCTTGACAAACAAAAACGCCACAAAAAAAAAAGCCTGAAGCCCTCGACCCAAACCTGAAAACCCCAAACTCGGAAACCCTGAACCCTAAAAACCTCCAAACCCTAAAGCCCCTGAACCCTAAAAGCCTACTACACCCGAAAACAAACCCGCAAAACCAAAAACTCCTGAAAACTGAAACCCTAAACCCAGCCCTGAACACCTTACACCCTAAAAAAAACACCGATGCCCTGACAGTGAACCCTAAACAACCCGCAAAAAAAGCAAACCCTAAAAAACTGAAAGGCCCTAAACACCGTGAACCCCGAAAACCCTAAACCCTAAAACTCCTGAGCTCAAAATGCTCCACACCCTCAAAAACAAACCCTCAGAGCCAACACGCCTGAAAAGCCTGAACCCTAAACACACTGAATCCTAGAGCAAAACATACAAGATCATATTAACAAAAAACTGGACCCAAAAAACCCTGAACCATAAAAACCCTTAAAAACCTGAACCCTGAAAACCCAAAACCCTAAATCTTGAACGCTGAAAAAGCAAACCCTTAAAACAAACTGTGCCCGAAAAACCCTAAACCCTAAAACTCTGAAGACGAAAAACCCACCCTGAACCCATAAAGCCCTAAACCCTAAAACCCTGAACCCTAAAGACCTGCAAACCCTACAGAGCCCTCAAAACCCTGCGAAACCAACCCGAAACACCCTCAATCCTAAAACAGACCACAAAAGCCAAAAACCCTAAAAACCTGAACCTTAAAGATCCTGAACCCTAAACAAACCCTAGAAACCAAAGCCCTCTAACCCTAAAGAACCCCAAGCCCCCCCCCCCCCTCCCACAAAAAAAACACCCTAAGAACCCCAAACCGAAAAAAAACCGAAAACCCTAAAGCCCTGAACGCTAAAACCCGACACCCTGAAAAACCCTGAACCCTAAACTCAAGAAGAAACTGAGACCTAAACAGCAAAACCCCTAAACAACCTGTAACCTGAAAAACCTAAACCCTACAAAAACACGGAACCCTAAACAGCCAAAACCCTAAAAACTTTACCCGAAAACTTAAAATCCCTTAAAACCCTGCAGCCGAAAAACAAAAATCCGAAACCCTGAAAAAAAACGGAAAACCAAAAACCTTAAGAACCCTGAGCCCTCAAAACCCTACACCCTAAACACCCTGAACCCGAAGAAGTCCTTAACAACAAACCCTAAACACCAAAAACCCTTAAAACCCCAACCCCTAAAGTTTACCCTAAAGACAGCAATCCCATAAAAACCCTGAACCCCGAATTCCTTTAGCCCTAAAAGCAAACTAACAACATAAAACCCTGAAAACCAACCGTAAATCCCAAAAAAAAGCGCAACCCCCAAAAATTCTGAATTTTTAAGATCCTAAACCCAAAAAAAAAAAACAGACCCTAACAACCAAATCCGTGGAAACACCCGGAACCCCTAGAAACCCTGAGCCCAAAAAACTCTGAGCCCTAAAAACCCCAAACCCTACAAACCCTGGACCCTAAAAACCCCAAACCCTACAAACCCCTGAACCCTAGAAAACCCTGAGCCCTGTTTCCCCTTGAAAACAACAAACCCGAAAAACCAAAAATCCTAAGCACCCTGAACCCTAAAGACCCTAAACCCTAAAAACTCCAAAAAACACTGAACGACAATCTGAAAACCTGAACCCTCAAAAACACTGCACCCTGAACACCTCAAACCCTGAAAACCCTGAAAGCTAAAAAACACCCTAAACCCCCAACCCCCCCCAAAAAAAAAAGAAAACCCTAAACCCTAACAAACCAAAAACCCAAACACCCTGAGCCCTAAAACTCTAAAGCATAAAAACTCTGAACCCCAACCTACAAGCCCCAACGTGGAAGAACCCTCAACCCTGAAACCTCAACACCCAAAAGCTCCTGAACCCTAAACACCCCAAACCTTCAAAAACAAGAAACCCCCTGAGAGAAAAAACAAAACCAACAAACTCTGAACCCGAAAAAGCGAAAAACCCGAAAAGCCCTGAACCCTAAAAACCCCGAAAACCTGAACCCCTGAGCCCTCGGGCGGCCCTTGGCCCAAAGAGCCCTTGGCCCGGCAAGGCCCTTGGCCCGGGCGCCCTTGCCCCAGATGCCCTTGGCTCGGGGGGCCCTTGGCCCGGAAGGCCCTTGGCCCGGGGGGCTTTGGCCTTGGCAAGCCCTTTTAGCCCTGAGCCCTGAACTCTGAAACCCTAATTCCAAAAAAAACACACCCCCTCGAAAAAAAAACCTAACAAACAAAAAACCCGCAACAGCCTGAACCCTACAAGCCCGAAACCCTAAAACCCCTGAATCCCTAAAAACCTGAAACCTAAAAACCAAAAACCCTAAAAATCGTGAGCCTGGAAAACAATCCCTAAAACCCAAATACCAAAAAAAACTGCCTGTACCCTAAAAACGCTAAACTAAACCCTAAAGAATCTGAACCCTCAAAACCCGAAACTCTCCGAAAGAACAAAACCCCTAAAAACCCTGAGCCTTAAAGATCCTGAGCCCCAACTCCCTAAACCCTGAAAACAAAGACCCTAAACACCCCGAAACCCAAAATAAGCTGAACCCTAAAACGTCCGAACCTAAATCCAAAAAACCGAAACCCTAAACTTCCTAAACCAAGCAAAGCCAAGAACCTGAAACCCTAAACCCTGAACCCCATAAACCCTAATACCTGAATCCTAAACTGTAAACCCTAAACCTTGAACCCCCAAAATCCTAAACACCCTGAACCCTGACAACCCTAAACCCCAAAAAACCTGAACCCGAAAAACCCTGAGCCTGAAATCCCGGAACTCTAAAACCCTAAACCCCAGGATGAAAAACCTGAAAAACCCAAAACCAAAAAAGAATCCTCAACCCTAACCTGAAAACCCCAGGCCCGAAAAACCCTGAACCCTAAAGCCCCTGAACCCTAAAAACCCTACACCCTAAAACACAAACCCGCAAAACCAAAAACTCCTGAACACGAAACCCCTCCACCCTAAAATCCCTGAACCCGAAACTCCTTACACCCTCAAAAACAAATCCAACATCAACGTGCGTCAACGTGTGCAACAGGTCAGGCCTTGCGAACAGTGGCCTGGTGACCCAAAAGTCCAACAGATCAAATGTGATGTGAGCACCACTACTCCACACTGTCTCCGGGCCAGCACATAGAGATCAAGAAACCGACACTTCATCATCATTCAATTAATGCAGTCAGGTGCATGTTTCGCATTTGGCCTTGCTCCATGCGCACGAGACCACTCGGCCTAGGTAGAGGATGGCCAGCAACGCCACAGGATCATGCGTTTGATCAACAACGCATCCTTGCATCGCCCAGTCGGGCCGGAAAGTGACGCTTGCACGCTCATACAAAAGGCGCGGCAGGGTTCGAGGCTCCACACAGCAAAGCGGACACGTGGAGGACAGCTGCTGGCGGCCCCTTAGGTCGTCAAGATCTCAAAGGGCACCGCGTCAGTCAAGCGCGCCAATATCCACATCCTGAGGTACTTCCACGTCCACCTGTCCCAAGGAACAGACTTTTCCAGAAAGCTCGGACCCATCGTTGCTGCAGTAGGTCCCGCTCTCCAGCCGCAGCGTCCAAGGATCCATCCCTGCCCTCGTTGTTGTAAAAACCATTCATGCTCCAGCTTTAGGGCCGCAGGCATCACCATTTGCTTCTTCCAGCAATCTACTGCCCGTTTCGCTGCATCTTTACCACCCAAGCGCAGGATGGTCAATGAAGGGGCATACCCATTGAAATCAGACGATGGCACCAGCTTTTTCGTGATGATCTCTGCATCATTCAGCCCATTTACCCCTTTGCAATTGCACGCAGCCTGGAAAGCAATCCGTGCGTCAAAGGAACTTGTTAAGCACGGGGCTCTCGCACGAACCGTGGCGATGAAGGTGTACTGAGTGAGTCGCATCCTAACACCAAGTTCATGCAAGATCTTACTACGTCCCCCATCAACCACAGAGACCGCCGAAACACCAAGCACATCCTTCAGGGCCGCGTAGCGACAGGTGCCAAGCTTGCATGCAGCCTCACTCCAGCCGCCTACAAAACTGGCAATTGCAGCAATTCCATACCATGCGCTTGGCTCACTCGTCGGCAATTCTTCAACCTGAAAGGGCAAACCGATAGAATGATCTCGCACCCTAAACAATCCTGAAACCCAAAACCCCAAACAGGACAAACCCTAAAACACTGAACCCTAACAAACCAATACCCCAAAAGCCTTGAACCAAGAAAATCCTAAACCCTGAAACTCAGTGAACCCTAAACAGCCTTTAAAAAATCAAACCCTAAAACCAAAAGGCCATAAAAACCATCAACCCGGAAAACCCTACACCCTAAAATTCCTAAACCACTAAAACACCACACCCGAAACAACAACCCTTAAGAACCAAGACGCCTGAAAAGCCTGAACCCTAGACACCTTGAACCCTAAAACCCTAAATGCTAAACAGCAAAAATTGAAAACTCACAATAACAAGAAACTGGACCCCAGAAACCCTGAACCCCCCCCCCCCCCCCCCACCCAAAAAAAAAAAAAACTAAACCCGAAAAAGCCTGAACCCTAAAGACCACAAACCCTCAACATCTTGAACCCTACAAAACCCTAAAAACCCTGAACCCTAACAAAAAACCTAAACCCTACAGAACCCTTAAATTAAACCCAACCTACCTTAAAGCCTCAAACAAACCCTTAAAGCCGAAAACTCTAAACACCTGAACCCTAAAAACCCTGACCCTGAAACACCCTGAACTATAACAACAAACCCTAGAAACCAAAACCCTCTAACCCTCAAAAACCCAAACCCTGAAAACCCCCCGCCCTAAGAACCCTAAACCCTAAAAACCAAAACCCCTCAACACCCTAAAAACCCTGAACCCTAAACTCTAAACACCAAACCCCTAAAAACCCTGTACCCTGAAAAATCTAAACCCGAAAAAACCTGTACCCTAAACAGCCAAAACCCTACAAACCTAACCGGAAACCCAAAAACTCTAAAATCCCTGAAGCCTGAATTAACAAAAATCCGAAACATTGAAAAAAAAAAACGAAAATCAAAAACCCTAAACACCCTGAGCCCTCAAAACCCTAACCCTAAAAACCCTGAACCCTAAATAGCCCTAAACAACAAACCCTAAACACCAAAAACCCTTGCAGCCCTAAATCCTAAAGTTCATCCTAAAGACAGCAAAGCGACAAAAACCCTGAACCCCTAAATTCCCTTAACCTAAAAACAACCTGAAAACCTGAAACCAGGAAAACCAACCCAGAACCCCAAAAACCGCAAACCCTAAAGCCCCTGAACCACCCTAACATCCCGAAACCCGTGAAACAGCCGGAACCCTAAAGAAACCGAAGCCCTAAAACCCCAACCCTACAAGCCCTGAACCCTAAAAACCCCAAACCCTACAAACCCTGAACTCTAAAAAAACCAGAAAAAAAAAAAAAAAAAAAAAAAAAAAAAAAAAAAAAAAAAAAAAAAAAAAAAAAAAAACACCTAAAAACTGAAAACCCTAAACACCCTGAACCCTAAAAAACCGCAAACCCTAAAAACCCCAAAAACCCTAAGCGACAAACTATAACAAACCGGAACCCTCAAAAACCCTGAACCCTGAAAACCCAAACCCTGAAAACACTGAACCCTAAAAACTCTAAACCCCAAAAACCCTAAACTCTAAAAACAAAAACAACAAACACCCTGAGCCCTAAAACCCCTAAACCCTAACCTGAAAGCCCCAAACCGGAAAAAATGCAAAAACAAAAAAAAAAAACTTGAGCCCTGAAAACTCCAAACCCTAAAGCTCCTGAACTTAAAAATCACAAACCTTCGAAACCAGAAACATCCCATTAAACAACAAATCGAACTACTAAAACAAATAAACCTAAAAACTCAACCCTAAACCCTAAAACATACAAACCAAAACAACTGAACCCCAAAACCTGAACTCTAAAAGCCCTAAACCCTGAAAACCCTACACACTAAAACACAAAATTAAACAAAAAAAAACTAAACCTCCAAACCATAACAACCCTAAACCCTAAGCTAAGAAACCCAAACCCCAAAACCCCTGAACCCCAAAAGCCAGGCTCAAAACTATAAAGCTCCTGAACCCTGAACAAAACTAAACCAAAAGAAACGCCCAAAAAAAACCAACCCCTACAGACCCTGAACCCTAACAACCCTAAACAGTCGCACCTTAGCAACCCTAAGCACTGAAACAACAAACCCGAAAATCCCTGCACCCAAAATTCTTGAACCCTCGAAGCCCGAAAGCCTATCACACAAATCCGAAAAAAAACAAAAAACAAACTTAAAGACCCTGAGCCCTAAATAAAATGAACCGTAACACCGTAGATCGTAAAGATGACCCTGAACCCTAAAAACCTGAACCCTAATGAACCCTAAAAACTCTGAATCCCAAGACCCTCCACCCTAAGAACCCTGAACCCTCAACCCCTAGAAACAAAACCCTGAAAACAAAAAGCCCTAAACCTGAACTCGGAAAACCTTAAACCCTAAAATCCTTGACCCCAAAACCCCTGCGCCCTAAAAAACAAACCCTAAAAACCAAAACCCCTAAAAACCCAGAACCCTAAAACTTTAAACCCTACTCAAAAAGACCTAAAACACCTGTACCCTAAAAACCCTGAACCCTCACACACCCTACCCCCTAAAAACCCTGAACCCTAAACTCGAAAAACAAACCCTAAAGACCCTGAACCCTCAAGACTCAAAACCCAAAAAGCCGTGAACCCTCAAAAGCCCTAAACGACAAACCCTAAAAGCCAAAAAGCGCCTTAAAACCCTAAACCTTCAAAATAACCATACCCTAAAAACCCTGAACCCAAAAATCACTTAACCCTAACAAAACCAAAAACCAACAACCCTGACAAGCAACCCTGAAGCCCTAAAAGCCGTAAACCCTAAAAACCCTGAACCCTAAAACCCCGCTTGTTTCTAGCATCAAGATCCAGGATCTTTGCAAGCTTGGGCTGCTCAGCGGAATGGAGTTTTTAAAACACCCTTAGTGAGGGTGGTGTAGGGAGGGCTTTTCAAACTTCTACTAGAAAAGTCTTTTTTTGCTGTCACGACGGGCATTTAATTGCTAAACGACCGCTACGAGCGCCACAACGCTTTCAGGCGATTTCGTGCGGACGCGGGTTTTCTGGAAGGAGTTAAACCTGAGGGGCCAGCGCAGTCACGCCGGGGCCCGCACGCTTGAAGAGGTCTCCGAAGGTAAGCTCATCGTAGTAGTTCACACCCCAGACCTGTCACAGTGGGCGAGGGTCTGGGGTTTAGGGTACCGGAAAGCTTCATGAAAAGACAAAGTAGATTAGGATCTTCTGGTGTTCCGTGCTTGGGTTATGTTGTCTGAGCGAAGCACGCTGCAGGAGGACTCTGGAACCCGATCCTCTGGGGTACCCGCATCAATGGCATCCATTTTCTGGATCACATCCAGGGGTGGCGCCTCCCCATACACTGATGCCTCAGCAATACAAACGGCATACAGAGCCCTCTCACATGCAAGCGGAAAGAAGAACACACAGCCTGTCTGTGCACTCGAACCCAGCGCCACAACAACAAGCCCAAACCCTGAAGCCCCAAAGCTAAAGCCGTAAGAGCCTTAACCTCCCCCCAAACCCGACAACCTTACACCCCTAAACCCGAGGCAGCGTTGTCCTGCTGAGGCCCGCGCGACGGGATGCTGCTGATCATATTTCTTTACGAGCTTGGCCTTCAGTGTGAAAGGCTGAAGAGGCTTCTGTGGTTCACTGTCCAGAAAAGAAGACTGTCGCGGCTTCGGGAAGCTTATGGGAATTAGGGTGTAGAGTCTTAGAGTCTTAGAGTGGCTCAGGGCACCAGCATTGGTCTTTTGTGACACATCAGCCTCTCTGTAGCTCACTCTGAGTCGCTGGCCACTTCATTTAAACGATGGCCACACTGATCCACGTTCATATGTTGGTAGCAGCCGTTGTAGTTCCACCTCGAGCTGGGCCAGGGCTGACATTTGAAGGATGAGGGAAGAGAAAACTGCAGCACTTAAAGCGCCTGAACCCAAACCGCCCCCCCCCCCCCCCCACCCCCTTCGATGCGCTGCGGCCCCGACTCGTTCCCGGCCACCCACATGAGAAGAGCAGGATGGTGCTTCACCTTTCGGAGTGAAGATTCTAGGGCTCCGAAAGCTGCCACTCTGAACCCTAAGCACTATATTCTGTAAACCCTCATGGGCCCTGGACCTCCTTAAGCCCTGAGCCCGCTCTGTAGAAGCAAGCCTCAACCGACACAATGTTCGCTGCCTCTTGGGTAGCCGGTGGTACAAAAGCAAGCCTCCAATCCAGGACAACCCGAATGCAGACAGGGCACTGCATCTACCTCGTCAGATCGGTGGGACTTGTGCCAGAGTTGGCAGTTCAGAGGGGTAGATTCGGAATTGGTGGCTAGGGTGCTAGGAATAGGTTTGCGCTTTCGGGATCGCGTGAGGGAGAGGGTTGGGGTTCAGTTGACAAGATACTGAGCGGGAAAGGGCCTTTTTGGCATAGTTACCATGCTGACACCATCATGCACCATCGCTCCCTCTCTTGCACCTTCCCGCCCGTGACGTTCTTATTGGGGCTTAAAAGCTTCGTTGCGGGGCTGAGGGTTTGGGCAACATTGTGCCAGGCGCCTCTTTCTGGACTGCTTCCAGAGCTTTCCCGCCGTGGGCGTAGATGGTGTTCAGGATCTGGCCGCATGATGCAGAAAGGCCGCGCTGCTCAACATGACATGCTACACTTGCTACTGTCGTCGTCGTGGTTTGCCAAAACCTGGCTTCTTCACGTACGTGCAAACGCCTGAGGCTTCTGGGGTGGGGATTTACAACTTTGAGGACTTATGATGTTTGGGGGGATGTCCGGTGTTACGGGAGCGTTGAGGGCGTTTTCGACAATTCCACCATCGCCCAGAACGTCTAGCCATTTCCCGTACCGCTGTGTTGAAGGGCAGCAGCATGACTGTAGTCGGTTGCTTACTGTGGATGATGGCAGATGACCATCACCCTCCCCTAGACTTGCGGAGGTCACGAGCTACAGCAAGCCGCAAGCTGCGCTGCACCTGAATGCCGTTTCGCCAGAGCTCGTCTAATACGGCCTGGGCTTCACAGACCGCATCGAAAAGAAAGGTTGCGGACAAGGCCTGTGGAGCTGTCACATTTCCCGACTGAAGCTCCGGAGTGACTGAGCTGCCGACTGGGTCAGCAACGGTTTCGTACGTCCTTAAACTTTCAGACGACATGCCGGCAACATCCACCACTCACCACCACTCCGACTCCAGAGAAGCCCTGAAAATCCGATGTCCGCCGTAGCCCTTCCCCGAGCTGTCCTCACCACATTGACGCCGGCCTGTTGTGGTCGCATCAGCCGCAGGCTAACGAGCCGCACAGGGCCCCAAACCCTAAACCCGACAGCAAGCCAAACCCGCAGGCACGCAGTTGAAGACGGCCTCAGCCATGATGCGAGCGTCACGTGCCACGAAGTCCGCGAAAGCGAGGCCTCGGTCATGGAGCGGGTGAGGGTCTTGGGCGGAAAGGGTTGAGGGTCTTAGGGTCTTAGGGGGTTGGGGAAAAAGAGCTTAGAGAGACTAGTGAAGATTTCGGGTACTGCGGAGATCTTCCTGTGTGGAGCTCCGATCCGCGCATGACAAAAGGCCCTCTCAAGCCTGAGGCCGCGAGCCAAAACCGGAAACCCGGAATGCCCTAAACCCTGCTGAGTGTCGGGCCGAAGGGGTGGGAATCCCCAACTGCCACAGGGTTCCAGTTCACACCCTTCATGTGCAGCGGGACACCGTTGACGTATATCCTGCGGCTGAAGCTTTAAAGCAGGGAGCCCTCTGTTCGGTACCTTTTGCTTCGTTTCGTGCTCTTCAAACTTCGCGCGACAAGACCCAGAAGTGCGGCCTGAACCTCCCCAAACTCTAAGGGGTTTATAAGCCTTTCTGAAGGATTAGCTTGCGTTTGGTTGGGTTTGTAATGTTTTTGTTTGGAAGGATTCTAACTCTGAACCTTAAATCGTGGAGAACGTTTCTTCGAGTTCTGCTTCTCTGTGCCTTCTTATGCTACAGCCTGCGATTGGTCCTGAGGTCATAAAGTTCCTGCCACTAGACGCAATGAGAATTTCATGCAAGTGTGTGCAGCTTTGCCGCACAGCAGTAAAGCCCACGAAAGATGTTATCAATGACTCTCAAGACTCTAAGAAAGATTTGCATCTTGAGCGGGAAAAGCAGGCACACAAGAGGCTACTTCAGGATCTTGAACACTCCTGAGCCCTAAAACCCAGAAAGGGCCCTTGAGCGTCTCCTGCGGTCTCCCGGCCGAATGTGTGCGGGCAAAGCGGACCCATGCCAGGCCAGAACCTTCAATTTTCTATGCTCAAGGGGCGGTTGGGGGTTGAGGGATATTTGGGGAATCTGGCGGGATGTTGAGGGATTTTGAGGCTTAAGGGGTTTTACGCGGGGTTGCTCCCCGCCGGGCCCGGAACGTCTACTACTTCCCCTGCAGTTCGCATCCGCACACTTCGACATTCGTATCTATCTTGTCACTCTGACAAGCTGGGCCGATGGCGGCAAGAAGGAACTTCAGCCGGCGCAACATCTCTGCATCCCGTTAAAACAAAAATGGCTCTCGGCGCACATAAGATGCATTCAAGACAGGTCCCAGGAGCTAATTCCTGCCATCTGACCGACTCCTTGATAGCGAGAGAACCGAACCATCACAAAGTCCCTTTAACTCACAAGGCACATGCACCGTGTCTCTTGCAGGAGGAGGGTCTGTGTGGGCTTATGCTCCTACTTGACAAAGAGGGGCGGGCGGGTCCTAATTGTGGCCTAAGGAAGAAGCGGCAATCAGCTTACAGCCTCCTTTTCAATCTCAGCTTCGTCGAATCAAGCAACAAATCCGCTCGCAGGCGCGTCGAACTCTCGCACAGAGCCCTTGCGGCCGCAAGCCAAGTGTTGTACTCTCGAACATAAAGACGGGCATTCGCCTGGGCTGCGAGGCTCCTCAATGCTAAGCCCCAAGCTTAGTAAGATTTTAAACCCACAAGCTCGAAGTGGTTGTTATGAAGCCCACCTTCCAAGTCTTAGGGCCCATGGTGTTCCCCATTGCCAGGGAGTGCCAAGTACGAGTTTAAGTCGAGGATGGTGAAGCTTGGGACTTCCACGACTCGGGCTGGATGGTTTGGGTAACCCGAAAACAATGCAACCCTAAGACCCTAAACCCGACACAACAGCCGGAGATCCGACGGTCCGACGCCTTCATCCGAACAACGTAAAGCCCAAAGCTCGAAGCCCAAATCTCACACGCAACCCTGAGAAGCCCAAACCCTGAAAGCCTGAACCCTCAAAACCCTGCTATCAAGAAAACCTAGACCTGCACATCCTAAACCCTGAACCCAGAACCTTGAACCCGCATGCCCGGCAAAATCACGGCAAAGCAGCTCTGGTGGTCGGGGTAGACACCTCGCTTTCGGGGGGCAATTGAAGCAGGCTGAAGCTGATTTCAGGTCATTGGGCTTGGGGTTCGGGGTCGGAGGTGTTGAAGCGTTACAACTTGGAAATTGAAAGCCATCAGTCAGAGCCAAGGAGCCAAGAGAAAAGACACAGAAGAGCTGGCTCCATGCGTGCAACGCTGCAGAAATCCTGAAAGGCAAACACAATCAAAGCTTAGCTTTCAGTCCCAAGTCGAATCTGGTTATCCAGGATAACCCTTCGGGCTTAGACCTCGCGTTGCCAACCAACACGTGAGGAAAAGCATCACGCACAGTCCTCGTAGGCTACAAGCCTCTGCCCACCAGGGGTGTGCACCTCGACCAAGGGCTTTCGGCCAAGGGCTGCTCTCCGTACGTCGAAACGATGGTGTGCACTACGCGAGCTTCATTCAATGCACGTGGCTTCTCAAGTTTTTGGCTCTAGCGGCCTCTGCGATCTGAATCTGGCCTGGTGCCTTGTTAATCCCCAAACAACGTTCCAACGGTGCGTAAACGTGCGCCGAAAACGCCGCTTTGTAGACGGCAAGGGCAAATATCGTGGCAGGGGCAGTATTTCTGAGCTTTGGGAGTCAGGGATGGTGAGAGTACAGCGGACAAGAAATCGAAGGAAAAATTGACTAGAATGCGCTGGGGCCTGGGCGACATGAGGGCGGTCGAGGTCCAGTCATTTTAGAGCTTCAGCCAGTTCTTGTCTCGACGGACGTCGAGAAAGTCTTTGGGCTGTGGCCCAGGGCCCGCACTCGCTCCTTCCTATACATGGCCAAGGCGTGCAAAATTGTTCCGTACCCCGGAGCGGGCATGGATGGTCTGGCCATTCGCACGCACTGGCAACACGGATGTTCTCATCGTGCGGGCATGGATGCTCTGGCCATTCGCAGGCACTGGTAACACGGACATTCTCATCGTGCGGGCCATTCGCAGGCACTGGTAACACGGACGTTGTCATCGTGCGGACATCGATGCTCTGGCCATTCGCAGGCACTGGTAACACGGACGTTGTCATCGTGCGGGCATGGATGCTCTGGCCATTCGCATGCACTGGTAACACGGAGGTTCTCATCGTGCGGGCATGGATGCCTTGGCCATTCGCACGCACTGGTAACACTGACGTTCTCATCGTGCGGGCATGGATGCTCTGGCCATTCGCAGGCACTGGTAACACGGACGTTCTCATCGTGCGGGCATGGATGCTCTGGCCAGTCGCAGGCACTGGTGACACGGACGTTCTCATCGTGCGGGCATGGATGCTCTGGCCATTCGCACGCACTGGCAACACGGACGTTCTCATCGTGCGGGCATGGATGCTCTGGCCATTCGCAGGCATTGGTGACACGGACGTTCTCATCGTGCGGGCATGGATGCTCTGGCCATTCGCACGCACTGGCAACACGGACGTTCTCATCGTGCGGGCATGGATGCTCTGGCCATTCGCACGCACTGGTAACACGGACGTTCTCATCGAAGGGACATGGATGCTCTGGCCATTCGCACGCACTGGCAACACGGACGTTCTCATCGTGCGGGCATGGATGCTCTGGCCATTCGCACGCACTGGTAACACGGACGTTCTCATCGTGCGGGCGTGGATGCTCTGGCGGCCATTCGCACGCACTGGTAACACGGACGTTCTCATCGTGCGGGCATGGATGCTCTGGCCATTCGCAGGCACTGGTAACACGGACGTTCTCATCGTGCGGGCATGGATGCTCTGGCCATTCGCAGGCACAGGTAACACGGACGTTCTCATCGTGCGGGCATGGATGCTCTGGCCATTCGCACACTGGCAACACGGACGTTCTCATCGTGCGGGCATGGATGCTCTGGCCATTCGCACGCACTGGCAACACGGACGTTCTCATCGTGCGGGCATGGATGCTCTGGCCATTCGCAGGCACTGGTAACACGGACGTTCTCATCGTGCGGGCATGGATGCTCTGGCCATTCGCACGCACTGGTAACACGGACGTTCTCATCGTGCGGGTATGGATGCTCTGGCCATTCGCAGGCACTGGTAACACGGACGTTCTCATCATGCGGGCATGGATGCTCTGGCCATTCGCACGGACTGGTGGAAAACGTGGCAGGCGTGTGCTTTTCTATGTGCAGGGCACCGAAAACACTGTAAATACCGATGTGGCCGAGGCGTCGCCGGCGCGCGTTTACGTGCCGTTGGAGCCCCAAACAATGCAGGCCCGGAACTCACATATAAAACCCCTCCGTTTAAGTACACAGTAACCCGCGTTGCTTAAGCATGCAGCTGCGGAGCGCGTTGTTGCTTAACCCACAGGAGGAGGGCTTGTCTCCAAGAATTACAGCTTCCTCATCAAAAACAAAAACATAGCCCGGGCCCTCAAAACGAAAGCTTCCTGCTGCAGGGCCACCTCCAAGAGGCGCTATTTCAAGGCGACTCTCTCTCTCTCTCTCTCCCCCCCTCTCTCTTTCTTTATTCTTTCTTTTCTTCTTGGGGGCATGAGGTCTCTCTCTCTCTCTCTCCACACGCTTCACCCCCCGAAGGGAGGCTGCCCCAAGGGGCGCGCACGTCCCAAGCTCCAGTCTGTGATGCCGCTGCCATGGTATTCATAGTGGGCTTACTTTGCATCAGCTCATTGGCCACAGGGATGGGGTTCGGCCGTGTGGTAGATGAACAATACCCCCCGACTCAGTCATGAAGACGGGACAGAAAAGCTCAAGCACGTCTTTCACCCCCCTGTTTTTCTGGAAATTGGGTGGCCTCTCTCTCTCTCTCTCTCCGCACTCTCTCTCTCTCTCTCTCTCTCTGTCTCTGTCTCTGTCTCTGTCTCTGTCTCTGTCTCTGTCTCTGTCTCTGTCTCTGTCTCTGTCTCTGTCTCTGTCTCTGTCTCTGTCTCTGTCTCTGTCTCTGTCTCTGTCCCTCCCTCACTCTCTCTATCTCCGGGCCAGGGTCAAGGCTGCTCCACGCCTTCCCCATTCAAGTGGGTAGCCCTTTTGACTTTAAACACAAGCCCCCCTTCCCCGGTCAAAACTGGAGTCCCTTTAGAACCAACCCCTCAAGAATTAGAGTTTTGGGCGCTCGCCCAGACCCGTTGAATCAATCCGGGGGTGGGGGAGGGTGGGATTAAAGCGAAGTCAGCATCACACTTACGTAGCCCTTTAGCCCGGAAGCACCTTTGCTGCAGCGAGCAGCCGTAGAAGCATCGACCGCGACGGGAGCTCCTGCGCTGTCTGGCCGCATGAGTAATAACTGGCGTCGACAGGAAACGCCATCGACTCCTGGTCACATCCAGTCGTGCAAAAACCAAGGCTGTATAGCACTAACCTACTAGTAACCTGCCCTAAACTACCAGAGGGCTCCGGATTGCAGGGCAGACAGGGCGTTAACGGACTGGGGTCCTCCAGCTTGGAGTCCTTGACGCCGTCGAGTGGCGCCTATGGGGGCTGTTCGCAATCGCCTGGTCCCAAACATACGGCCTTCGACCCGACAGACCTCCTGGTCCACCACCCCAGATATCCCCAAACAATGGCCTTCCTCAGCAATCCTCAGCCCAAACCTTCTGAGGCCCCGGCGCTTGCCCGCTCGCGGCCCGGAGTGATGATTACAGACCCCGGCCTCATGGGCCTCAAGTAGCAGGGCTTTGGACTCGGCTTGTTAAGGCGGTTAAGGGCTTGCAGGTTTTGCAGATCAAGTATGGGGTAGCTGTTTGGGAACCGTTTAGGCTGATGTGCTGCAGGGCGGGTAGGCAACAAGCGGGCAAAAAAGGAACAGCATCTTGAAGAGTCCAGCGGCGGCGTCATGGGCAGCGGTAGGTCGTTCTCGGAGCTTCTGCGCACAGTCAGGCAAACGCTGGTAGCGCTGTGCGCTGGGAGATGAGAGCTTAGCGCATACCATCCGCAGGGCCTTTGGCTCGCACCGTGCGCAGTTGCCAATGCCATGACCTGCAAGTTCCAAGGCGTAATGAGACTTGCAACTGACACAGCGTTGAATCATGAATCACCAGAGCTTGGTCCCCAAGGCCCTTCAGGCCCTAGCAACATGCCCCTAGAATCTTAGAAGCGTATGAAGAGTGATACGCGAAACTCATCACCCAACTCGGCGCAGCCTCATCCGTGGAAGCCTTGCGGTTCACGGAGCCAGTGGCCAGGGCTACTTTGAAGAGGGTCGTGCAAAGGTCGTTGAGGTCCTTGAGAGTCAACGCCCGCCGGCCTCGCAACGACTGGAACTTGCCCTGAGCCCTAAACGCCAAACAAAACCTCACAACCAAACACCCGCAATTTTCGAGCCGCAGATATGCCCAGATATGCAGGGGTTGCACTGCTTGTCAGCCTTGCCCATACCGCGCCTTCAGAGTCAAAGAGATCAAAGCACACCTTGTGCCACGGCGGTGAGATCAATTCAGGGCCCAGCAGCAACAATCGGGCGCGGAAACGCTGAGAGCACGAGGCTCGGCACATATGCTCTGACAGGTACAGCACCCCTAAACCCCCAAAGCCCCGAACCCCTAAATAACCCCAAAGCCATCAGTATTCTCGCATGCTAATGGCTGCAGCCTGTTTCTTGAAGCCCGGCGAGGCCTGCAGCTTCTCGTCCATGGTTCCCAAGGCCAGGGCCGACCTCGAAGAATGGGTGGGAGGGCAGGGAAGGGATAGAGCTGACTAGAGGACTTCAACCACCACATGCTACATGTGCAAAAAGGTGCCCGAACTCAGAACAGGCCCATGTCCTGCAAGGTGTTTTCGCATAGGGCCTTTAATCACATCTGGGTAACGACGGAGCTTCGGGGTGCTTCCCTGCATCTTGCATCTGGGGGGCATCCCACATGCCAGCTCCATGAAGGTGAGCCGACCCACCTCGACGGGGAGTAGGGGAGTAGGGGAGTAGGGCTGCTTCCCTCAACAGCATTTGCGGGTGCCAGTGTTCTCGGCTGGAACAGCAACCAGCTCCCCGAAAGTCCGCGGGCGGCAGATCCAACGACTGGTAAAGCAAACAGTTTAAAGCATTGCTTGAAGTTCAAGGTGTTCGGTGTCGAGGACTCGGGAGTCTAGCTCCGGGAGTCTATCTTCGGGAGTCTATCTTCGAAGTGGCCGTTTCGGTTCATGGCTCACTTTGCCCCTCTCGAGGCTCCGGCGCCGAAGCAATCTAGCTTCCTGGGATCGCAGGCTGGACGCTCATTGCTCGCATGGACAGCCTTAGGGCCCGTACACCCGAGGCCACCCTTGGCTATAACCTGGCTGTGCCGAGCTTCTGGAAGAGGCGTCCACAAAGTTCGGGCGGAAACTCGGGAACGGCTTCCTTCACGACTTCCTCTCGCAGAGTAAGAACTGAAAGGGTTCAGCTGCTTGGGGTTGGCTTCGAGCAAAGATTGACCCTATGCAATACCGCACGATTGAGAACATGTACGAACTTGCAGTAAGGAGCTGAGAAGCAACTTTCTGCCCTCATTACCCTCGCCGTGTCCTTGAAACCCTTGAGGTCCAGCACAGTCTGGGCTGGAAAAGTTTGGGGGTTCTCGGGACTGCTTCCAGGTTCCCTACTGTAAAACACGTGAAGCTGTCTGGAGTAGATCAAAGTAGCTGGAAGGAGAATCTGCCGACAGACGCTTGTCATCTTGCCCAGGATTCTGTCCAGGAGGTTTGTAGAAGAAAAACTTACTATTGGGTTGACGCGGCATGGCAACATACTCCTGCTGACGAGTCGCCGTTTCTTGCTTGCTTTTCCGCATTTTGCGGAACTGCTGCCGCAATCGCTCAATCTCCTGGTATAGGCATCAGGCCACATGAAGAAGCCTGAGCCTGAGCCTTCTGCTAGATTCAAGGTACTTCGACAACGTGCATAGTACAGGTCCTCCACACTGAAGTGGGTCTGCTGGGCCAAGGTCATGAGCTGCTCATCGCCTCGGCATTGGCTGTGCGGCCCCCTTGCCTTGATAGAGGGAGGGGGCAAGTGCTGCCCTGAGCATGAGGAGCCCAGCTCCAGCGTGCTAGAATTTAAAGGCCTGTAAGGTGATAGTCTTCGAATGTGATTACAACGGAGCCAAGTACTCTGTAAGTACCGTGTTCAGCTTTCAGGAAAAGCTCCCTGCTCAGGGAATCATCCATCACATCATGTTCCCAACCCCCTGATCCCGAAACTACAAGCGCCTGACACCAACACACGGGCGCTGAAGCTTAGCATTCAGGGCCCCCCGTCTGCCCTAAGGACTTTCCGGTCTGTGTATTCTTTGTGTATCGGAAACTTCTGATGTATACATATATATATATACAATATGTGCATACAGATATTAAATCCTGCATATGCGATCGGAGGGGTCGACTCTAAACCCGAAATCTAAACTCTTCATCATCCCACTTTCAGTTTCCGGTTTCGCCCTAACATCGCCGGACTCTTGGCTTTGGATGCAAGTGTCGGGCTTAGGATTCGGAGATATTGAGAGGTTTGAGCTGCTGGACGCGCGCGCAATGGGACACAGGTTCCGAGGCCTTGACAGTTTCCAGCACAATCGGCGATCGCCTGCTTTCGGCACCGCACATCCTCCCACAGGCCTTTCAGCTTTGCAAAGCATCAAGTTACGTGGGCAAATATCTACAGTCTGCATAGGCACCAACGCACGGAGGGACATGAAGTCCTGCATCGCTTCAGTCCACTGCTTCGCGCACTGCAGCACCCTACGCTAGACCACTCGCTGCACTCCGTAGCAGCAGCAGACTAAGGTGCAGTGCTTTTCTGCTCTTCCATGCCGAATTCACTCGCAATCTGCTCACTGCAGTCCGCAGACACCTAATATGGCAACTGCCTGTGCATGTCAAGCAGCCAGGCTCCTACCAAAACACATGACCACAAGCATTCTTGCCTGCAAACTGGTCCGTGTTCTCCGCCTGGGCGAGAGACATGGTGGCAAAGGCCAAGCCGTCCATGCTGGTAAAGACATGTCACCATACAATCAGTAGACACGGGCTAATGAAATACTAGACCCGGAAAGCCTAGCCAGGCCCAGCACGATGGAAATACGGTAGTACGGTGGATTGGGTTTGGCAGCTATGGTTTGGGTTGGGGGATGTTGAGGGCATGCCTACGGTCGAGCGGCGCACTGCTGGATGTTCACCCCCTGAAACCAGAAAAGCGAGTTTCTGAGACACACCTTTGGCACACAGCTCGACACTATCAGCTCTCGCAGGAAGTTCTGTAGGAGCCAGACCAGTTCGACCAGAATCCGTGTGAAGTTGCACAGGAAGACATCGTCCTCATCGTAGCGCTGCTCTCATACAAAGCTTTGACCATGCATATGCCTACAAGAAACCCGCCACAGTTGCCCACATGCCCTGCAACGCCTATGCGTACTGGAATCAGGCCTCTTGCATCAACCCAAGCCTTCGTACTCTACGCCAGCGACCTGGTTGCAATGCTTATAACGGCTGCCTTCTCCTGGGAAATGTACTGAATGTCGTGCCCAACAGTGCCGGCTCCTGCGACTCCGGCCAATCCATCAACTTCTTCCTCATGGAGGCGACGAGCTCACAAGCCTGAGTTCAATGATATCCGCACAGGTGAAGTAACCCGTCTGAGCACCGTACACCTATAGGTACCCTTTGCAGTGGTGATCATGGCACCCAGAGCGCCCAAAGGGGCAGAAGGGCTTGATGGGCTTGTTGGGCCCTGAGCCCTGAAACCCGCATATCCACCGACATCCTGTGTTGTCAGCTCAGAATTGGGCCTAGGGGGAGGATCTTGGAGCCGCGGATTGTTGGTAAGTTTGTGGACTTAGGGGTATAAGGCTCAGGGCATTTGGCCAAGAAGCTTCGAGTGCCAGCTCCTCTGGGGCCACATGCTTGCTGTGAAGCATGGCCAGCCGCTTCACCATCTGGCAGAGCTGATGCTACCGGTGATCGCTAGCACCCAGGGAGCCCCAAATACAACAATCCTTGTTTTGGGCCTCGGCCGGTGGTGCGGGTGGAAGCTGCGAGCATTGTATGGGGGTAGCTGGGCCTCATGATCGACGACATCCTAAATTAGGGTGTAGCAAAGTCTAACCCTGGCGTTTGTGCTTTCACAAACCCAACCTCATCTCTACATCCAAAAGGCATGAGCCCTCATCAACCCTGAACTCCAAACCTTGCCTTGGTAGGTCCCAGACATCCCTGAACCCCTCCTCCGTGTCTTTGTAGGCATCCTCGCCGCAGCACTTCAGCGCACTCAGACCTCGAGCCAGGCAGTTCAAGCAGAGTCCAGGGGTTCCGAAGCCAGCGATGCTCTGGTGTCTGTTTTCTGCTCCCTTCTCACCAAACACTTTGCAGAGCGAAGATGATGACAGCTAAGACGTGACAGTCTCCATCGCACTTCCAAAGATGTAAGTGGCAAGACCCACAACAATTCCCCGTGCAAACGTGACTGAGGCGAAAGCCAAAGCCGATGACAACGGCCAGGCCCGTTGGCAGTGACCTGCGACGCTTCGGAGCCTGCCCCTTTTGGATTTTGCAGCGACGTTGAGCGCAATTGCTCTTGAAGTTGCCAGGACTGCAGACACTTGCCAAACGTTTTTGGGGAGGTTGCGGCAACTGCTCCAGAACAGCAGGTGCCGTGGCAGCCATTGTATATCAAGAATATTGTCAACATTAGGAACAGTATGCATATCATGAATATTGTCAACATTAGAAACGTTGTGAACCTTGTCAATATTCAATGAAACATGGGTCCAGTCACCATGTGCCTCTGGAGATCGAGAGCAGACAACGCCAAACCCCGGCCTCACCCTCTCTGTGGGATGGTAAGGCGACGGAAGCAGCAAGTGGTCCTGCAGAGTGCTGGCAAGAAGCCCTTCCAGCGGCAGGGGGTGCCTTGCTTTAGGATCACTTTTCTCCGCTCTGGTCATGGGTCGCCATGCGATCTCCTCTCTGATCCTCTCAGCCCTTTGGCCAAGAAAGGGCCGAGCCATCCGCATCTCAGTCGCGCGCAGCGAAGATCATGTGCAGCGCCTGCTTCAGAACAGCCACAACGGCATTCAGACAGAGTCATAATCGTTAGAACCTTTAAGGAAACCGCCGCTGGCGGTTGGGTCTTTGGAGAGAGCTGGTGGACGCTTTCATGGAAATAACAATCCCAAACTCCACAATCCCAACCTCTTTTAACCCTGAAGAGCCCAAGCACCTATCCTCCAAAACCTACAGCCCCTGAATGCTTAAACTAAGCCCTCAGAAACCCAAAAGCCCTGCAGCCGCTGTAGTCCTGAAGCCTCCTTCCGAACTGTTCAAGTTCGGGGTATCGTCCTCAGTGTCTGTCCGAGAGGTGTCCCCATCCGGGCCTCACACCAGGGGCATTTCGCAGTGAGGGCTTAGGGGCGTTTAGGGCTTAGGTGTTAAAGGAGGCAGGGCCCGGCTGCTAGGCCTAGGGGGGTTCAGAGAGCTTCATTGAGGGACTCGCGGGTTTCGGGTTGAGGCAGCCGGGGTTGAGTGGACCCGCTGAATGAGCCGAAGATCTAGGCTGCTTCTGCTCGAGAAGCTTCTCGCCAAACCCATGCTTTCTGCACAACCTCAGTGGCACACTTAAGGGTTCAGGGCTTGGGCCTGAAGGTTTTCTTCGGTCTCGGGGCTTGGGCAGCTTGGGCAAGTATCCCAGGGATGATTGCGTGAGTCTGTCCTTTGCCTCAGACGGAAAAGGGGGGAAAACGGCATTGATGAAAGGCTCTCGCTACCAACATGCTACAAACATGCGTAGACTGCCGTGAAAGCACCAGGTTCATCAGACGTCTGATGGGGAGTTTTGGCGCTACACAGCGGCTTCAAGGAGAAGGCCCATTTAAAGGGTGCCTGGTCGGGAGGGCAGCCAGTCTATCAACTTCCAAAGGCCCCAAGAGCCCTCTTTCCCTCTTGCTGCCGCGCCGCTCCATCAGCTCGTGGCGGCTCTCTGCCGCTTCCACCGCTAAGCCACAGATCCATGCCTGGGATGCAAAGCGACCAAGGCCACTCTCTGAGGGAGACCAACCTTTCCTTTGTTGAAATCCTAAGTGGCTCGCCCAGTGCTCATCATCCAGCCCTTTGAGAAGGTCCACCTGCCAGCAACTCGCAGGCTTTGCAGGCTGCTTGTACACAGCTACGAGAGATACTAGATGTGATGACCATGTCGAGAGTGGTATACGGTATACACGAAACCCTAAGCCTGTGCGACAACGTCTGAAACCATTATACAGGCCACCTGGCGGAACGGCCGGAGCCCAAGTAAGCCATCACGAAGACAGCACGAACCGTCCCAGCTGCCGAGAGGTGATATTGTGTTTTTCAATATTCGGCATTTTGCGCATAGTATGACTACAGTATAGCATACACCGACTCGAACACAGCCAGCTCGCGCGAAGTTCGAAGCTGAAGAGGCGAGCTGTACTTGATGATTGGGTGTCGTGGCATCCTTCCAAGATTCTGGAGGCTTGAAAGCATTCTGACGTATCCCATTGGGCTCCCTGATGTCGACTGCAGCTTGTCCATTCCGAGCTCGGTAAACAACTTCAAGAACGACTTCATCTGTGAGCTTCTGTGGTCTCCGGGCTGGGAGGGAGCTTACCACCTCCGCCGGGGCGAAAAAGCCAGAAGGCGAAACGGAGCAAGTGCAAACGTGATCGTCAGAAACGGAACCTCTCGGATGAAATGACCTGGTCGTCACTGTCGTCACCTGGTCGTCACTGTTAAAACAGTGGTTACGACCCCTTCTACCGGGATTCCTGATTCCAAACACCCCGAGAACACTCCAAGAGCATGCCCACTCTGAAACGCCAAAAACCGAGACAGTACTCACGGAACGCGGCGAAGCGCGATTGCTGCATCGTGAAGCGCGCGGGACATGGGCAGGAGAACATGCCAAGTGCAGAGTGTCAGTCAGGCGAGGGGGCGATCTGGCATCCGCCGCAATGCCAAAAGCATGCTCTGTGCACTGTTTGGGACGCCTCTTGGGTCTAGAGAACGTCAGGGTCATCGTTGTGGCTAAAACAAGGCCTGCGACGCTTAAGCGAGACCGGCCGACTCTGCACGGCGAGGTGCACGAGAGAGGACTGGGTTTTTGCCCTCCAAATTTCCCGGCCAGGGTATCGGGCCTCAAACTGGCAACTGCTGGCAAACTTTCCGTTCTCTGCTCAACAAGACAGGATCCCGATTTCGGGAATTACACATGTATCGTGATGCTAACCTCTTGCACATTCTGCATTGAAGATGTGGAAGCAAGTGAAGAGATTTTGATCACACTTCGGGCACTTCGATAGTTCCTTGTCAACTGGTACAGTATCGGGTTCCAAAACACCGCGTGCAGCATTGCTGAAGGCCACACCAAGCCAAGACTAACTAACTGCACGGGTCCTGGAAGCAGAAACAAGGCAGATATCTGCGGTCGACAGCAAGGACATATTCTTGAGATGTTTCTTCTTGGTGTTGATTGCCGGCTTAGGTTGTTCTGGCGCTTGGAAGCCTTCCCTGGGCTCCATGCACAAAATCATAACTCCAAATAATATCTAAACCGAAACGTTTTGATTGACTGTGCGCCTCGGCCCCTTCGACGTCGCCCTTCAGAAAGACGGCAGCGCCTACGGGCAGCTGGAAGGGTTGCTTGATTAAGTCTGAGGTGGGGCCGGGCTTCGGAACGTACATTTCTTACGGGATTCTGGCTCAAGAACTTCGCGTGAAAGGCTGTCACCCACCGTGGTGACATGTGACACCTTCATCTTGCTGTGGCCAGCCTGTGGGCGCATCTAGCGCTAACAGCGCCTGGGACAGCCGGCAGCATGGGACCTGTTGTGTCGGGGTTTGCGGTTAAGAGCAAAGTGCACTTTGGATTCCGGCTAGTTGCTGGCCTGGGGATATCGTACGAGCACCCCCTAGACCGTCCGAGCTTATGCGAAAGCCTCAATCCGCATTTGAAACCCTTGTCTGCCGTCAACGGTTGCCTTCGAACTTCCACCCTGTTGAAGCCAATGCCACGACACCATCATCCCCTATGGGTTCAATGGCAGCCATGAGTACGACAGACTCGCCTTGTTGAGCTCTGCCGAGATTTATGGTGTGCATGATTCGATGATGCGGGCCAACTCAAGGGGCCATAGCTTTCTTTCCACAATACAGACTCGCTGCTATATATGCCCAGGTGCCTGGAACTCCACGGAATCAGGGACACATCCTGGCCGGAAACTTCTCGCATGCAGATAAGCTGCTCTGCATCTCGCGGACCGATCAGGAATGAAAACATCGACGCTGGCGGCACTTCACAGGCACAGTCTTGCCGGGCATGCCCCACAATTTCTGACTCCGATTGAATTCGAAAAAAAGACCCCTCTGAAAGAAGAACGCTCTTGGGGCCTTTTCCCGATCTTGGGGCCCCCCCTTCCAGGCCTTCTCGCCATCGATCTCTGGGCGCGTGCCTCTTAGCTCGAGTAGCGGTGCTGAAGACGCAAGGGGTAAAAAACTGGGGGCTTTGAATTGGGGTGTTAAGAGGGCTAAGAGAGCGACGAGGCCAAACAGCCAAGCATTTCTAACCTATGCAGCCTATGCAGCCCCGCGAGAGCCGAGGCCGCCAAGACCCTCTTCCTCTACACGGTTACATCCTCAAACTCTCAGCCCTCTGGCACATCCGCAGCCTGTGGAAGTCGGCCTGGTGGAAGCCATACCCTGCTCCGCACCCCACCCCACCCCCGCCCCTCTCTACCCCCCCCCCCACCCACTGCGCCCGTGCCCCCCACGGCACCTGTGCCACTCCGACATTAGGCTGGGTTGCAGCAGGCCCTGGCCGAGGCGGGTCTCGTAGTGTTGAAACTAAGGATATCATAGTACACTCGTATACTCATGTACTAACATGATGTCAACATGAATATGGAATTCATGAAGCCGAATAGTTTACAGCCGAATGGAATGGAATAGAACAGAACAGAATAGAAGAAGAACAAGAGTGATGATAATCATCATATGAGAACAATATAAAGCGAGAAACAAGAACAACAATGACACAATCATGACTCCCTGGCGGGCCCGGCCTGTTCAGGGCAGAGTTGGCTGGGCTGTCCGGAAAGTGCGTGAAGCCTTGCTCGGGGGCCCCTGAAAGACAAAACCCCCTTAAGCCCCCTTTGAGGAAAACAGCTGCTCATTTTTCTTCCCTTTTGTCCCACACGTCAGAAGAATGATGATGGACACGCAGGTCTGCGGATGCGGGAATTTTTTTCAAGCGCTGTCTCCTTAGTGCCTGGCCCAACGTACCTGGCATGTCTGACAGGGCCATCTGAAAGGCGTGCACCTGCAGGGAGGGGCTGAGTTCCTGCGTTGTACGAATGCTGCTGCGTCCACCGCCAACAACTCCGAAAACCATGGACCCCCAAAATCCTTGAACTTTGTATGGTCAAGCTAACTTAACGCCCATACCCACTTTCGCTGTTGCGCCCCTTCAACGCCGTAAGTCCCGCAGCTGCAGCCCCACCCAAAAATGCATTCCGTGGGGTTTGCAAAGAGGCTTTCGAGAAAGCAGGGCCCTTGTGAGCCTCGGAGAAAAAAAGGGGCCTCGGGAACAAAGCGGAGTGCCAGTGCCAGTCAAGTCCAAGCACCTAATATGTCGGCCAAAACGTCCGTTAAAAACATATTGGTCGTCAAAATCCGGGGACCTAAGCCCTGTACATCGCTACAGTGCATCGAAGCCCTTACATCCCGAAACTTAAACACGAAACCTCAAACCCCAAACCTCCAACACCCTAGAAACCCTCTGAACAAACCTCAAAAACGTAAACCGATCTCCTTAACACTGTGGCAAATGATCAAGGTGCCCGTCCCCACATAGACTTATAAGCCCTAAACCCTAAACCCTATACCCTAAACCCACAACCCTACACCCTACACCCTAAACCCTAAACGCTAACTTGCCAAGAAGGCTTGAGACCAACCATGTCCCGGCCTGGAGGCCGGGTTTGTCACGAAGTTGCAGAGGGCCGGCCTGAAGGCACTGAAGGCTCTACCAAAATTGGCGATTCTTGGAGCTCATTTTGGGGAGGTTTTGGGAGGGGTCTGGGAAGCTTAGGGCCGAGGTTTAGAGCTTTCGGGCCCTACAAGCCCTAAACCCCAGATCGCGCAAGTGCTGAAGGCCTGGGGTCCCGAGAGAACCCGATGCCTTCCAGATTTGTGGGGAATTCAAGGCTATAGGGTTAAGACTCACCACCTGCTGGGTTGGGCTCAAAGCTTCACCTCTGCTGGGCATCGGATCTCCTGATGGCCAAACATAAAAGACAGCAATCGCAAAATTGCGGCGGCCCTTCAAAAAGCACCGGACCTCTCATCTGAACTCCCCATCATCTCCTATCCCACTCCGACTCTTGCGGCCAAGATCTGGACTGGCATCTCATAGTGCTCGACCACATGAATTCCTGCCTGTTGGTGCGAGGCTTCAAAAACCAGCAGGAAACCCCCAAACCCAGTCTTGGGCCCTTGGACCACCCCGAACACCACACTCAACTCCTGGCTAGCCCCGTTAGCTTGAACATGTCTGGAAGCTCCGAACACAATTGCAAGCGTCCTGACAAGTCCTAGCTGTGACTGCTCACCTACATGGCCCCTGCGCAAGGATGACACGGCCTTCCTGGCTCAAGCATGACGTAGTACAAACCGAGAAGTGTCTTTGAGAGGGTTGGGCGCTATTTTTAGGGTGAGGTCTGTGGGTCTTTCCTAAGCCTGATACCCCAATCCAGCCCTCCTTGTCCCGTTTTGTTACCCTAGTCACTGACCCAGGTTGGGGGCTCGACCAGTGGAGCCTGTATTAGTCTGATTTGAGGTGTCGCATGCGGTGATGATACTAAAAGCTGGTGATGTTTGCAGGTTGTTGGGCCACACACGATGAGGAAAATCATGTAGCGCCCTCGAACTGACATGCCTCTCGACACGTCTGCACGGCCAGCTGGAACACGTCGGGCCTCTGAATTAGGCTCTTGAAGGCCCGCAGGCAGCTTGGAGTTTGGGCTTGGGCTGCACAGAAATCTAGGGTACCTTGACACGGCAACTGCGCTTTCTTATCCAGCGCTATCACTGTAGCTACAGCAGATGAAAAGTGGCAGAGGTCCGCAAACGCAATTCTAGTGAGCACATCTCTTAGAAACCTCATGCGAAGCTGAAGAAGAGGTTCCCTATCGGCTTGTGGTCCAGCATATAGCCACACGGGTGTCGAATTCATGGACCATGGCCTGTAGACTGCCTGTAAGACCTCCACAAAAGCGCAGACTCATTGCTGGATTTTGCTTGCATGTTCCGCTGATGGTCTTTGGTGTGGTGTCTTTAAACGAAGCTTAAAGAATGTTGCGTAGCAGCCCGTGCGACGGCTTGTGGAATACCACATAGCACGGGCTAGAAAGAAATTGAAAATCTGAGGGAAGAAACCCTACAGATCACACAAGATGAAACCGTCGAACCTCATAGAGTCCAACTGTGAGGCTGTGTGAGGCTGATTTGCTTGTTCACTTGGAATGCTGCAAGACGAGTGATCACCACTTGCATTTATAAACATGCCTCAAACATGGCTGCATACCTTCGCTTACTGCTCTTCTCGCTGCTCACTGATGCTGCACAGCGAAGGTAGCAGTGAGGATTTCGTCGGCACATGCGAGAAGTTGACCGACAGCCACAAGCGACGATTCCTAGAGCCCCCCCTGTCGGGTAAGCCTGGCGGTGTGGACAGGTAGAGCTTCGCATGCTCTGCCGAGACGTACTTGCCTGGGCTGGCAATTCTACATGGCAAAACCCAACACGAAGGCTTAAAGAAGGCTTAGCGCGAGCAAAAATACGTGCACACTGCAAATACGGAGCCTGAGGTGCTTGGATTAGCGAGCTTCCTGATCCCAAGCCGAGGAAGGTCAACCGGCCTGTTGAGAGGCTGCAGCGCTCGTGCGTAGGCCGCGACGTGGTCACGAACCATATGCCAGTCTGTCGGTCGGATGAGGTGCCTCAAACTGGGCAAGCGACCCAAGTGACCGTAGCCTCCGTGGCCTCCGTGACCTCCGTGGCCTCCAAGGCCCCGGCTGCCCATGCTGTCTTGTCCGTCTTGTCCGTCTTGTCTTCGGCAGAAATTCAAGTGTAGCTGCTTTATGCACTGCGTCGAGGCGTCAAGTTCCGCGATCAGTTGGGAGGGCTTGTCCATGCCGTGAAACAAGCTCACATCTTCATCAGCTGCTGTGCGCTTGACCGGTTCTTGGGCAGACTCCACTTCGAAGTGCTGTCGCAGGCAGTGCTCCAGAAGAAGGCACAAGGTGCTTGTCATGCAGGCTGCGTAAGCTCGTGGCCGCATAGGGATCCAACCCCGGTTTTGGAAGCTGATCTCTGCAAGCAGACAGGCAAATTGAGCTGGTAGGTGCAAACTGCGGTCGACACACAAGAAAACCAAAACACATTGCCAAACTAAGCACAGCTGAAAACCTTCCAAGGCTTCAGGAGAATCGCTGGCCTCCTCCCGCATGACAATGAAGAGGACCAACGCACAGTAGTTCACCACCACGAAAAGTCTTACCCTACATGCAGTGACTGCAGCACTCTCTGCAGTCAAAAAGAAGCATGCATAAGCCACAGCACACGTTGCAAAGCCCACCGTTGCACCCGAAATTGTGCTCATGATCACACCTGCCAAGGCCAGATGCTGAAGGAGTTGGCTGGCAATGAGAAAGTTCCGCTCCATAAACGCATCCATAGCCTTCCTAATGCGGACCTGTACCAGATCCTGGCAAGATTCTCTGCGTCTGCTCCATGCGCAGGTGATGGACTTGGTAGATATGCAATACACACAGTGGCACATGACCAAGGTCACGCAGACCGACACAGGACCGCGAATGGTCAACATATCGCCCAGCTCCATGTTGGCAAGGCTTCGGGGAACTGTACAATGAAAGCATTTGAGCCAAATCTTGTCCAATACTGACCTCTCACGCTGCTGCAATGGGCCCATGACATCCTGGACTGCGCCAACAAGGCTTACAGCAACACCACCAACACAGCCCCAAAACGGCAGAGCCTCTGTAAGAAACTGCAAGCCGTCTCGTTCACGAAGCCTAAGCCCGCAAGATTACGGGCCAGGCGCGGGCTCGAAAGCCAGAGATGTCACTGGCACAGCCGCAAGCCTCACTCTTCAGCCATCTCTGAGTTTTCAGAGCTAGGTCAGCTAGGTCGGTGCGGGGCCCAAGCCTTGGGAATGCGAACGCCCCTGCACAAACGACAAGCTAGTGGCGCTTAAGGTCGCAAAGTCGGCGCGAGTGTTGTGGATGGATGGTAGGCTGTCGAAGGATCGTTTTTTCTCCCGTGAGGCTTCGCTGAAGAGGCCGGGGAGCTGTTGTAGATACAGCTCGAACACACCTGGGCGCAAAGCAGTTATCCGACTCACCTCGACTCCCACGGCCAAGTAGTTAAGTACTTGCGAAGTACACGCAAAGGAGAAGTCAGGAAAGATTCGAGACAATCGACATGTCGAAGACACACGCGCACAGAGAGCGAGAGAGCGAGTGAGAGAGAAAGAGAGAGGGAGAGAGAGAGACAAACAGAGACAGACAGAGACAAACAGAGACAGACAGAGACAGACAGAGACATCGACAGAGACATCGACAGAGACACGGACAGAGACACGGACAGAGGCACGGACAGACAGACAGACAGGCAGGCAGGCAGGCAGGCAGACAGACACACGCAGACAGACACACGCAGACAGACACACGCAGACAGACACACACAGACAGACACACACACACACACACAGACACACAGAGACACAGACAGCGAGGCAGACGCAGACAGACAGACACAGGCAGACAGACGCAGACAGACAGATGCAGACAGACAGACCCAGACAAACAGACAGAGACATACGGACAAAGACCACAGACAGAGACATACAGACACAGAGACAGAGACAGACACGGACACCGACGCGGACAGAGACACAGACAGACTCACAGACACCGAGATACAGAGATACAGAGATACTGAGATACAGAGATACAGAGATATAGAGATACAGAGATACAGTCAGGAACAGACAGGCACAGACAGACACACACACACACACACACACACACGGACAGACAGAGAGACAGACAGACAGGCAGACAGACAGGCAGACACACCGACAGACACACTGACAGACAGAGACACGCAAAGGCACGTCTGCTAAGCAAGCGATAGTGAGGGCTGTCTTGAAGCTTCCCCCTCCCGGCGCGCCTAGGTTCATTCCCGCGTCCACTACCACGAATGGCTGGGGCCTACCAGACAATTCAGGCTTCATGTGGCTCCGGGCAAGGGCGGGATATGTGGGATCTTTTGGGGGGGGTGGGGGGCCCTTCAACACAGGCGCGCGTCATCGAGTGCAGTGTGTTCATCATAGCTTCATGCTAATATCCTGGTGGCGGCCGTCGTCTTTGAAAGCAAAAATCTAGGATCATAATTTGTAATCTAGGTTTGGTCGGCTATGTGCTTTGGGGAGCCAGGTGCACCAACCACAACATGTTTGGCATTCCCGTGAGCAGACTTTGGCCCACGATATCCTGGTCACCTGAACCCTGAAGAGGAGAGATCCGTGAGAATGTCAGCTCTGTGCTGCCGGCTCGGCATCTGCCACGGTCAGCGTTCCCCCCAGTGCCCAAATGCCTACTCCCGTCACTGGATCCATTCTATCAAATACGAGTTGTGAGTAGGCATGGTGTCAGATACTGCAGGTGCCACTCCTTCAGGAATTGGTGGAATTCGTGTTGGGACCATTATCTTCGGGAGACCCCAAAAACCACTTAAACTAGAAGAACCCGAGCTCCCTAAGCCGGAACCCAATTGATTCGTAAGGTACTGGCCTCCCCTCCTCCAGCCGCGCCAGCGGCAATCCGGCCCAGGCCGGTGCCTCCAAGGGGAATTACGGGTAAAACTTCGCATCGTCTAAGTGGAGGCTCAAGAGCTCGAAGGGGTTTTCAAGGTTGTTTACTGGGGTGAGCAAGATGAGCAAGAATATCCAGAGTACGTCTCAACGCATCCCATCGCTTGAAGTACGGCATCTTAGCGGCCCAGCACGCCAGACAGAAGCCACAGCACACCATGCACTGCAAACCGCTTGCATTGCCTATGCTTGCCGGAATGAATGGTGCCGAAGCAATGACACGGATGTGAAAAATTCTCGAACAGTGCGCAAAGTGTCATTTTGTAATCTTGGCGTGTGATAACACCATCATGATACGTGACTGCAGTCCCACAATCTCGCGCATGATTGCATGCAACTAGACATAGGTTCAGCTTCTGCGGGGGATGCATGGCGCAACGACCTCCCCTATACCCTGAACCCGCAACTCTGCAGCCCCAAGACCCCACGCCCCGTCACATTAACTTGAACCCTATCAAGGTGGCACCTCGAGCGGGGATGGTCCGTAGCAACGACTGCCAGAGCGATGAAGACAGGATTCACTCGAGGCTTTTGGGTTTTTCACACTGCTCTTCTTGGCCAGCCAGTCTCTGGAGTGCGGAAAGACCTGCACCCTGAACCGTAACCCCCAGCCTGCAGAAGATCTCGTTGTATTCAAAGAGGGCTTCCTCCACAAAAAGTCAATCACAAACTTCCCAAGTCGGGGTTGAGCAGGGCACCACTGTATGCACGACTGTATGCCAATCCTCATGTTCAAAGGCAGCCAGTATAACTCTCAGAATCGAACCGTTTGGAACAAGAAGCACTACCCCAAATCCAAGCCAAAACCGTACCTTCAAGGTGCCGGAACTGCCGGTGCCTCCGGATTGGGTGCCCAAGCCTTTAACCTGAGCACAGATGCCGACCCAAAGGCTCGAGATGAGTGCAGGCCCCAAGAAGGACCATGCGTAGCATTCTACAACGGCGTATCATATGAAGGCGGAGGCTTTGAGGGAGCATGGAGCTTAGTTAAAGGCAAGGGCAGCTTGGCGCATGGCTTGAAGATGATCTTAAGCCCACGGCCTCCAAGGGCCCGGGAATTCTGGAAACCCTCCCTGTTCTCTGCCCTCACGGCTCCAGCACCGCAGGCGCCCTCTGGAGATGGGATACAAAAGTGGGGTTCTTGCCTCAGCTGTATAGGCCGTAAAGGCGCGTTGCTCTTCCTTGCTGTATTGGCCAAAGCTTCTGTCTCCAGAGCACGAGGTCGTGCAGGGCAACTTCGTTGCCGTTGCCATGTTCACCAGCTCCGTGCTTCTTGCAGCTGGTCTGGGCCCGCAAGGCGGGCAAAAGAAGCAACCGCATTTATGGATCTCGCGTCTACGGCAGCCCCAGGCTCAACCACAGGATGCTGTTGTTGCTTTTGCTGCTTTTGCTCTCTTGCTCAATGTGCTCAATGCCTCAGCTGAGAAAGCATCTTGGTACCCCAAATCCTGAACCCTGGACCAACCTTGCGGCTTCAACTCCTGGGGTCTGCGGTGCCGCTTGAAAACCAGGAGTGCCTCCATATGCGGGGCCCATGCCCACGCGACGGCCCGCACTTCACTTGATGGGTTCTGGGACTTTACTGCAAGGTTTTCAGTGCTTTGGGGCATGGAAGTTCATGAAACCAGGACTTTAGGCCCTTAGGGGGTACAGCTTCACGAGGCTTCAGGGCAGTGTCGCGCGCCGTGCCATCATCGACCAAAGTGTGGAGCCAGGCACCCCCCGTTCCGAGATCTTCTGACTTAAAAGAATTCCGCACTAAGTGAAAATGAGGCTGGAAGGCAATTCAAATGGAAGGTCCTTCAGCCCAAGGAGCAACCTCAGTTCCAGTAAAAGGTAGGTTCATGGCTAGGATTTGAGGGTTCCATCGGGAATGTGGCAGAAGCCCTGTCGCGGCTGCATCCAGTTCAAGTTCCTTTACGATGCAAAGGCAACACACCGAGGCAAAGCCTCTTCAACCCTAACGCCTAAATTTAAACAACAACTTGTTCCATGCCAACTCTTGCCACTACAACCAATTGCATCTCCATTGCGAAGCACCAGCTGTGCTACCCCCGCGCATCATCTTTCCACATGAAGCTGGGCAAGAATGAATACAACATTAACTCCCGAACCCTCCCGAACCCCAACGATCCTCTGCTACCAGAGCCGCCCCGCGGGTCAGTGGCTCGCCGGATCCTTCTCCTTGCCTTTCAGAGTCGGCCTGGCTCAACTTCTTAGATTCGGGGGGCGGGCTTCGGGGACAACGGGCCACCGCAGCAAATAGGACGCGGCAACACGTCACTGTGGAATCTGTGGCCGTGCCCTTGCTTTTAGGCTGAAAGGGGAAATGCCTGACATCAACATCTTGGGGATCCCCAAGTCTGGGTTTACATATGCGCAGCTAAACATCGCCAGGATGGCAGCAAAGTGAATCGCTCCTCCATGCAGCCTGCAACGAAGAACACGGGCCATGAGAAACCCCAACTGTTAAAGCACAAACGCCAACTCGTCGAAACTTGTCTTGGAGGGAGTCTTTGCCCAAGTGAAGGGCTTCGGGCCTGCAAATACCCATGACTCCCTCAGAAACGGCCGAGAAAGCAGCCCCAAGTCCCTAAGTTTCCGGGCTGCAGGTCACTTCGGCCTTCCGCGGTCGGCGTCAGCTTGATCACGGTGTTTAAGGGGATCGACCTTTCAGAGAGCAGCTTGGGACCAAGCAAGTCTAAGTCTTGTCCACAGGTTGCCTCTTAAGCTGTGTCGGGCACCCCAGAGGCTGCTACAAGAGGCTTGGGCAGATGCAGGGACAGTTCTCGTTTTCCGGTGCGCAGCTGTCTCAGGAGCTTGGAAGCTGCGAAGCCGGCGGAGGTTCCGAAGCTTCATCTATCAGTTGCAACGACTGACTGGCAGCTTTTCTGATATCAGCATCCGTGTCATACTTGCTGACTCTGCGGAGCTGGGGGACTAAGCCGAGTGAGTTCTCACCCAGCTTGCCACAGACTGTGGCCGCTACCCAGCGAACGTTCCACTTTTGAGCTGCCAAACCCTTCTCCAGCTCTGGCACGACGCCTTCTGGATCCTCCTTGCCTATCTTCCCCAAGACTTCTGCGGCTTTGTACATGTAAGGACATGTCATTGAATTGCATCCAGGTATCTTGGCCACGATGACAGGCACGGACTCTATGGCAGCGCTTCCCATCTGTCCCAGCGCTTCGAGCGCAACATCTCTTGTCGCCTCGTCACTCAGCAGCTCCGTGAGTTTCGGGATAGCTGCAACAGCCTCCTTGCCCAACTTCCCCAGCTCTGCAGCGGCGTCCTTGCGTACTTGGGCGTTGCGGTCGCTGAGGCTCTGCTGCCATTCTGCCAAGGTGGGTTCTGGCAATGGGCTCGCCGCAACGTTGCTGATCTCTTCCAAGCTTTGGGCGGCAGCTTTTCTGATATCAGCATCCATCTCATACTTGCTGACTCTGCGGAGCTGGGGGACCAAGCCGAGTGAGTTCTCACCCAGCTTGCCACAGACTGTGGCCGCTACCCAGCGAACGTTCCACTTTTGAGCTGCCAAACCCTTCTCCAGCTCTGGCACGACGCCTGCTGGATCCTCTTTGCCTATCTTCCCCAAGACTTCTGCGGCTTTGTACATGTAAGGACATGTCATTGAATTGCATCCAGGTATCTTGGCCACGATGACAGGCACGGACTCTATGGCAGCGCTTCCCATCTGTCCCAGCGCTTCGAGCGCAACATCTCTTGTCGCCTCGTCACTCAGCAGCTCCGTGAGTTTCGGGATAGCTGCAACAGCCTCCTTGCCCAACTTCCCCAGCTCTGCAGCGGCGTCCTTGCGTACTTGGGCGTTGCGGTCGCTGAGGCTCTGCTGCCATTCTGCCAAGGTGGGTTCTGGCAATGGGCTCGCCACAACGTTGCTGATCTCTTCCAAGCTTTGGGCGGCAGCTTTTCTGATATCAGCATCCATCTCATACTTGCTGACTCTGCGGAGCTGGGGGACCAAGCCGAGTGAGTTCTCACCCAGCTTGCCACAGACTGTGGCCGCTACCCAGCGTACGTTCCACTTTTGAGCTGCCAAACCCTTCTCCAGCTCTGGCACGACGCCTTCTGGATCCTCTTTGCCTATCTTCCCCAAGACTTCTGCGGCTTTGTACATGTAAGGACATGTCATTGAATTGCATCCAGGTATCTTGGCCACGATGACAGGCACGGACTCTATGGCAGCGCTTCCCATCTGTCCCAGTGCTTCGAGCGCAACATCTCTTGTCACCTCGTCACTCAGCAGCTCCGTGAGTTTCGGGATGGCTGCAGCAGCCTCCTTGCCCAACTTCCCCAGCTCTGCAGCGGCATCCTTGCGTACTTGGGCGTTGCGGTCGCTGAGGCTCTGCTGCCATTCTGCCAAGGTGGGTTCTGGCAATGGGCTCGCCACAACGTTGCTGATCTCTTCCAAGCTTTGGGCGGCAGCTTTTCTGATATCAGCATCCATCTCATACTTGCTGAGTCTGCGGAGCTGGGGGACCAAGCCGAGTGAGTTCTCACCCAGCTTGCCACAGACTGTGGCCGCTACCCAGCGAACGTTCCACTTTTGAGCTGCCAAACCCTTCTCCAGCTCTGGCACGACGCCTTCTGGATCCTCTTTGCCTATCTTCCCCAAGACTTCTGCGGCTTTGTACATGTAAGGACATGTCATTGAATTGCATCCAGGTATCTTGGCCACGATGACAGGCACGGACTCTATGGCAGCGCTTCCCATCTGTCCCAGTGCTTCGAGCGCAACATCTCTTGTCACCTCGTCACTCAGCAGCTCCGTGAGTTTCGGGATAGCTGCAGCAGCCTCCTTGCCCAACTTCCCCAGCTCTGCAGCGGCGTCCTTGCGTACTTGGGCGTTGCTGTCGCTGAGGCTCTGCTGCCATTCTGCCAAGGTGGGTTCTGGCAATGGGCTCGCCACAACGTTGCTGATCTCTTCCAAGCTTTGGGCGGCAGCTCTTTTGATATCAGCATCCTTGTCATACTTGCTAAGTCTGCGGAGCTGGGGGACCAAGCCGAGTGAGTTCTCACCCAGCTTGCCACAGACTGTGGCCGCTACCCAGCGAACGTTCCACTTTTGAGCTGCCAAACCCTTCTCCAGCTCTGGCACGACGCCTTCTGGATCCTCTTTGCCTATCTTCCCCAAGACTTCTGCGGCTTTGTACATGTAAGGACATGTCATTGAATTGCATCCAGGTATCTTGGCCACGATGACAGGCACGGACTCTATGGCAGCGCTTCCCATCTGTCCCAGTGCTTCGAGCGCAACATCTCTTGTCACCTCGTCACTCAGCAGCTCCGTGAGTTTCGGGATAGCTGCAGCAGCCTCCTTGCCCAACTTCCCCAGCTCTGCAGCGGCGTCCTTGCGTACTTGGGCGTTGCTGTCGCTGAGGCTCTGCTGCCATTCTGCCAAGGTGGGTTCTGGCAATGGGCTCGCCACAACGTTGCTGATCTCTTCCAAGCTTTGGGCGGCAGCTCTTTTGATATCAGCATCCTTGTCATACTTGCTAAGTCTGCGGAGCTGGGGGACCAAGCCGAGTGAGTTCTCACCCAGCTTGCCACAGACTGTGGCCGCTACCCAGCGAACGTTCCACTTTTGAGCTGCCAAACCCTTCTCCAGCTCTGGCACGACGCCTTCTGGATCCTCTTTGCCTATTTTCCCCAAGACCTCTGCGGCTTTGTACATGTAAGGACATGTCATTGAATTGCATCCAGGTATCTTGGCCACGATGACAGGCACGGACTCTATGGCAGCGCTTCCCATCTGTCCCAGTGCTTCGAGCGCAACATCTCTTGTCGCCTCGTCACTCAGCAGCTCCGTGAGTTTCGGGATAGCTGCAGCAGCCTCCTTGCCCAACTT